GGTAAATCAGCTGCAAATGAGTTTTCTAAGGGAAGCAACTTTATTCTGAGGTGCTGGCATGCTGACCTTGCACCCAATCTTCAGCCCTGTACTTAAAATATTATAGTCGGAGGCCAGCAACTAGAGGATGCAAATGCGGGTTGGAGTTTCTGATGGCAATTTAGAGATGTCACCAGGCCACATTGGATTTCATTGTCCACAGGAACAGACTCTGTGGCAAAAACTCAGAGCATTAAGTCCTGTGAGTCCCTTGGTAGCTTCCTGGCTGGCATAACCTGGCACCACAGCTGACACCAGCTCCTGGCTACTGTGAATTGACTCATTATCGCCCAACTGGAATTGGAACTTTTCCCTGTGAATCTATATCTCAGTAACTCACAAGTCCATTCAATTTCCAGAAAACAGATGGGGTCAGGTGCTTGGGATCACAGACTCCAAGTCCGTTCCCGGGTCTGCTCAAAACCAGTACACATTTAGTAGTAGGTACTTACTATAGTGAATTTATAAGACTAACTTGAACTTGGAGTCACCTCTGGAGGCAGGCACTGTTAATCCTTATTCAAATTCAGGCCTGTTTAGTCTATAGCTTGTGGCAGAAACTTGTAATAGCAGACTTCTAGTTGTTATATAAGCCTCCTTGAATTAAGCTGCACACCTGGGACTGGGTACGTGCAACTGTCAAAACACAGGTTGCTGTCCAGTTATAAACCACCATCTAAACAACTTTCCAAGTCTGGCTCAAGAGGAAATAGAAGATCTGAACATGCCACTTATAAACAAGAAAATTGAAATAATAATCAAGTAGACTCTTTCCAAAGAAAAGTCTATTTCTACAGGGATTAACTACTGAATTCCATTAAATCTCCAAAACTGACCCATTGCCTATATTTCTCAAGGTCTTACAAAGAATTGAAAAAATGGAAATCTTCCAAATTTCTGTAAGATCAACATTATACTCTGATACCAAAAGAGAAGAGGAGGAGGAAGAGAATAGGAGGAGGAGGAGGAGGAGGAAGAATGAAAGCTACAAACTTATATCCCCAATGAAAATAGTTGCAAAAGCCCTCAAAAAAACCTTTAGTGCTATATTGAAAGGATTCTACAATATATTAGTGTGTGTTTCAACACCTCACTTCCACCAGTGGGTAGATCAGCCAGACAGAAAATCATCAAGGAACAGCAGCCTAATTGATATGTATATCATATGGGCTTAATAGATAATCAGAGGGCTGTTTACCCCTAAAAAACTTAATTCACATTTTCCTCAAGTGCATATCTTTGCAACTATTCTTTCAGATCACAGCCATAAAAGAGAGGGCTGGAAAACCTCCTAAATATATGAAGACTAAATAACATGATATAACATTTGCTCGAGCGGGCCCAGTAATGTCTCCATTTTGAGAATTGTTGTTACTGTGTTTGGCATATCGAATACATCACAGGTAGCTTGCCAGGCTTTGCCGTGCAGGTGAGATACTCTCAGTAGCTTGCCAGGCTCTCCAAGAAGGGCGGAGGAATTGAACCCGACTCGGCCAGGCTGGCTGCGTGCAAGGCAAACGCCCTACCTCTGTGCTATCACTCCAGCCCAAGAAAATAAAAAGATTAACAAAATTTTAAAATTAAAGAAAATTCTTCCAAACACTTCCAACACCATCCTGATACCAAAAGCAGAGAACATTCCAGATAGTATAATTTGAAGTTGTGAGCAAGACTCTTGTTTCAAACGACTTAGGCTACTTCTTGGTCTTTTGTGCTTCCACAAAACTTACCCATAATCTGGGGACCAGAGCGATAGTTCAGTCAGTAGGTTGGGTATTTTGCCTTGCATGCTGCCAATTCAGGTTCTATGCCCGGTTCCCTGTGTCCTGCTGGAGTGATCTCTGAGCAGAGTCAGAAGTAAACCTTGAGCACTGCTGTGTATGGCCCCAAAACATAACAAAAAAACTGTACTGATCTTTCTATATATATATAATCCTTTTCAACCCTGGGTTTAGATCAGGGGTGAGGAAAATGCACTCAGAAAAGGAAACATTCAACTTTTCTTTATTAATAATCTAACCTTTTTCAAATGAAAAAATGAAGCTTGAATTAGTCACTCACACAGCATCTATATTTAGCTCCTGCAATCAATCAAATCCTTAATGTTTTTCTAGAACAAGCTTTTCACACCTGACCTTATCAGAGGTTAAAGTTGTTGATTTTGAATAGCTACAAATACAAAGTCATCTTCATTTTTCAGAAGCATTGTGAAATAAAACTTTTAACACAAAATCATTTTTATCTTTGTTATTTTCTAGTGATGGATATAAACATTATAGTCTCTAGGATTCAGTATCTGGTACTACTGAGGTCCATAAAATCAAAACAGGAAGACTTTGGCAAATCCTTAATGGTACAGGAACATGAGGAATCCCAGTATTAGATGAAAATGATACTGGAAATTCCAGTAGCCCATTTTAGCTACTTACTCAGTATAGCTGTTTACACTCAATTCCCAGAGAAGGAGTAACTATCCAGCTAACAAAGCAACCCGACTACTTCACTTGTCAATAATGCTCAAGCATTGCTCTGCTTACATTAGAGAAAGAATAATTATTCCCAGGAGAAATCGATTCACAGGTTTGCGACTGAAATTGGACTGGTGTGACAGAGGAAAAAGAGGGGAGTTTAGAGGAGCAACTGTGTGTTTTGACACAGCAAAGCAGGAACAACCCAGTAGACAGACTAAACTTACCATCCTGCTCAAAATGTTTTGTGTCTTTGATATATACTAATTTTATTTTTACACTTTTAGCGAAATTCAAAAGCTTCACTTTTCATATTTTAGACGTATAAAAGTATAACACTAGAAATGGATCTGAGACAAGAAGATTATACCCTTGAATGTTAGTTAACAGAGTCTATAGCACTGTAGCACTGTCCTCCCATTGTTCATCAATTTGCTCGAGGAGGCCCAGTAACGTCTCCATTGTGAGACTTGTTACTGTGTTTTGCATATTGAATACATCATGGGTAGCTTGCCAGGCTTTGTGGTGGATAGGAGACACATATATAGTTCGCTAAAATAAATGCCAGAAAGAGAGTGATTTGGGGCTGGAGTGATAGCACAGTGGGTAGGGCATTTGCCTTGCACATGGCCCAACCTGGGTTCGATTCCCAGCATCTCATATGGTCCCCTGAACCTGGCCAGGAGTAATTCCTGAGTACATGAACCAGGAGTAACCCCTGTGCATCGCTGGGTATGAACCAAAAAGCAAAAAAAAAAAAAAAAAAAAAAGGAGAACACAGAAAGAGAGTGATTTGTTTCTGAAGGTTAAGCTGTTGATTAAGGGTGGGTTTATTGGAGGGACGGAGGAGAAAGTTCCACTTAGGAATCTGAGTCTTTTGCAGTCTAATCCTGGCTGAGCTGCCCCTCTGTCCAGAGGTGAACCAATTAACCTCTTTCGCATTGGCTGATTATCTGTAGAGTGAAGATAATAACGACCCACTTACAAAACTGGAAATCATTTTGTAAACACCTACAGTTATAGCAATAATCTAAGTAATTACGTACCCCAGCAAGATTCTAATTTTTACCCCAGTTTAAATATCTGCACTCTGCTTAAATAGTATGTCACTTTCAATTTCTGTCAAGCACTGCTTTTTTTTTTTTTTAAAAAAAGTGTGTAATAGAATAAATTTATGTTTATTTTCACATACTCAGAAAATACTCTCTCTTCCTGGTACCTATTGTTTAGGCTGAAATACACAGGTTCCTGGGCTGGAGCGATAGCACAGCAGTTAGGGCATTTGCCTTGCACACAGCCAACATGGCCGACCCGAGTTCGATTCCTCTGCCCCTCTCGGAGAGCCTGGCAAGCTACCGAGAGTATCTCGCTTGCATGGCAAAGCCTGGCAAGCTACCCGTGGCATATTTGATATGCCAAACACAGTAACAACAAAGTCTCACAATTGAGACGTTACTGGGCCTGCTCGAGAAAATCGATGAACAATGGGACAGTGACAGTGACAGTGACACAGGTTCCTAGATTTTCATAGTTACTCCTGGTGGCACACACAGTTTAATATAGCAGAGGAACTGCAGAGAGAGGCTGAGGGTTCTGGAATCTGGAAAGAAACAAGTGCTTTCAACTTCTTTTAGACTCCCAACCTGCCTTGCCTATTAAACAAGAAAAGCACGTTTTCAATTTTTTCACAAGGTTTTTGCAACTATATTAAAACTAGTTAAACAATTCAAATTGTATCGGCAGGTATATAAAAACAAGGCAAGTAGTGACAAAATGAGGGGGTCCCTAGATGCTTTGCATTTTGCACCCACTAATTCACATAGAAACTGCCGTCTCTTCTGGGATATTTCCAGTCATTTTGTAGGAAGTATTTATTTACAAAACTGCCTTCTTGGCATGACATAAAGATAGCTCATTTCTGAAATTATTCTTGGTTATCACTAGGTAAAGGGATTGAAGGGTTTTCTACAACAATACAATGTTTACAGAATTGGAATAGCCATTTCCTTATGAATTTAGAGGAAAGTTTTTGTTTATTATGTTTTGTTTGGGGCCCTGCGCTGGAAATGCTCAGGGCTGACTCCTGGCTCTGTGCTCAGAGATGGGATGCATGGATTGAACCTCAGGAGGTCGAATGCAAAGCAAACACCTTAACCCCTGGACTGTTTCTCCACCCCTCAGAAGGGAATCTTACACATTCTTTCAACTTCTTATTTTGAAAAACATCATGTCTGATATTTATGTAGGTTGCTTTAAAAAATATACTTGATGGTAATATTTCTGTTGGTAGCCAAACAGCAGACACTGGGTTAGTGGCTGTCACTCACTGGTAAAGGACAATGACTGAAAGTCTTTTAATTAGGGCCCAGTTCCATAGTATTACGTGACTTATTGCAGTTCTTTTCTCCTTGGCTCAACATAATGGGGAATTGATGTTCGCAGTTTTCAAAGTTGGTTAAGCAAATCTCTAAATGTGTTTTATTGAATTCTTACCTGATGATTTCTTCTGCAGCAGTCTGTATTTCCTTCTCTGGAATTGTTTTGGTTGATTCTGCTACATTTTGAGCGTTAGGGTTTGTGGTCATATCTTTGAGAGAATCTTTCTCATCTGTGGAAAGGAAACAATATTAAGAGAAGCTTTTCTTTGGGAGGGGAAGCCATGGCAGTGCTCAGGATCTCGAAGAATGTGGGACTGCGTGGGGACTTGGGGGCCCGCAGGGTTACTTCCAGCAGTCTTGTGGGGTGGTCTGTGGTGCCAGCAGCTGACCCAGGGACTTCAAGATGCAGAGCATGTGCTCAACACCTAGAACCTCATCCCTAACTGCAGTACCTAACACTTGGTGCTGCCATATTTGACCAGATAATCTAGAGATTCTACTCGCTTTTCCAGAATAATATTTTCAGGAATATTTCCTCTCAGATTCCTGTTTGGCAGAGTCAGACCTTACACAGAAGTAGTTAATCTATGTATACCTAAAGAACAGTGAAAAATTGAAAGTTGTTATACTATATAGCAAACATTTTACATGAGGGATTTTATTTAATCACACCTAGTGGTGATCAGGGCTTACTCCTGACTCCGTGCTCAAGGATAACTGCTGTGGTGGTATTCAAGGGACCATAGGTGGTGCTCTGATTGAACCCAGGTTGACCTTACACACTGTACTATGTCTAGGCCCCATGGACTAGAGTGATAGCGCAGTAGGTAGGGTGTTTGCCTTGCACGCAGTCGACTTGGCCGACCTGAGTTTGATTCCTCCATCCCTCTCAGAGAGCCTGGCAAGCTACTGAGAATATCTCGCCCGCACGGCAAAGCCTGGCAAGCTACCCGTGACGTATTCGATATGCCAAACATAGTAACAAGAAGTCTCACAGTGTTACTGGGCCCGCTCAAGCAAATTGATGAACAATGGGAGGACTGTGACCGACCGTGACATATATGTGTGTATATATATATATATATATATATATATATATATATATATATGTTAGCATACCTGAGATTAATAAAAATTAAATATTTAAAGGAATTTTTTTTCTTTTTGGGTCACACCCAGCGATGCTCAGGGGTTAATCCTGGCTCATGCACTCAGGAATTACTCCTGGCGGTGTTTGGGGGACCATATGGGATGCTGGGAATCAAACCTGGATTGGCCACATTGTCTGCATGTAAGGCAAATGCCCTACCGGCTGTGCTATTGCTCCAGCCCAGGAATTTTGTTTTTTTTTCCCTAAAGACTTTATAGTCTGTGGCAACAATAAATGCATTATAGCACTGTAGCATTGTCCTGGCATTGTTTATCGAGTTGCTCGAGCGGGCCCAGTAATGTCTCTTTTGTGAAACTTGTTGTAACTATGTTTGGCATATTGAATACATCACAGGAAGCTCGCCAGACTTTACTGTGTGGGCAAGATAACTCTCAATAGCTTGCTGGGCTCTCCGAGAGGGGTGGAATAATCAAACCCGGCTAGGCTGGGCTGGCTTTGCACAAGGCAAACGCCCTACCGCTGTGCTATCACTCCGGCCCATTATAAAAATCAGAAAAATAATGGGCAGAAATCACAAAATAGATATGAGTGGCGACCGTGGCATGGTCTCTCTCACCTGCCACGTACACTCGGTGGCCATGAGCGGCTTCCTCACCCGGCCTGCAGCCACCGCCAACAGACACATAAAGGACGGATCAGGGCCACCAGGCTGGCTGGTGATCATTTGCTGTTTATTCCATTCTCCCCACGTGCCTGTTCCAGTCTCACTGAGCGTCCCACTCCAGGCTCACTCTGCCCCCCATTCTCGTATCCTACTGTCCCCATGTTAGTCTTTCTATGCTCCATCTTCCTGCCTTGGTCTCGTGCCCAACTTCCAATTACTGAGGGTCGCAACCACACCTATATGAAGTAGATGAATATATGTATTCAACATGTGAAAGGCTTCCTTGCAAAGGAGGCTCTTTGAAGATAAGACAAAGATCTCCTGCAGCTAAGAGATCTGCTCAAAGGTGAAATACCACCTAGGGGTGTGTTTCTCCTTCCCTTAGTCCAACAACCCTTTAAACATTCATCTTAATTCTATTTCTTAATATTAGTCATTTTGTATGGACACAGTAAGAGATAGATTAAGCTGGTTGGGTGGCTCTCCTGAGGACCTCTTGCTGTGGATCCCAGACTACAGCGCTCAGGCCAGATTAGTCTTTCCTAACCCTAGCAGGGTCCTAGTCCAGTTGTTACTCTATAGGTCATGACAGAATTTGTCCATGACCATGTTCTTAACTTATAGTTCAGTATTATGGCAGTTGGCCTGGCCTGTTTTGATTCCAGGGTAGCTCTCGGCTTGCCCTGTGTCTATCCAGTCCCTCGTTGAGACCCTGCTTTGGGGGTGCTAGGAACTAAAGGCAATTGAGGCTTAAGTCAAGAAAACAGATGCCCAGGAGTGAATATTATTAGGAATCAATTAATTCCCAAGCTCCAAAAGCATAGCGTTAACTTTCTTCCTGTGTCTATACAAAAAGTATATTGCTCTGAAGTAAACTATGCACAAGGACATAAGGGAAGAAGAAAAGCAGTATTTCACTTATAAATACAAAATCAGAGATTTCTGAGGAGCTTGATTTTACAAGTCACAAGTACTACTTAGGGGAAATGAGTGATTAACAGGTAGAGAAAGAGCACAGAGAAGTTAAAGATGAATATTGGGGAAATGGGAGTGCTTTGGGAGCACTGTGAATGGTGTAACCCAATAAGCCTAAACTCCCTGTAGCCAGAGAGAAAGGACAAACCAATGTTATTATTCAATCAGAGCTTACTCCTGGCTCTGTGCTCAAGGACTACTGCTGTGATTGTATTCAAGGGACCTGTGTGGTACTTCAACTGAACCTGGGTTGGCCTTACACACTGCACTATATCTAGGTCCCATTATATATGGGGCCTAGATATAGAATATATATTATAGAGATATCACTATAGCACTGTCCTGTAGCACCGTCTTCCTGTTGTTCATCGATTTGCTTGAGCGGGCCCAGTAACATCTCTATTGTGAGACTTGTTGTTACTGTGTTTAGCATATCAAATACGTCACGGGTAGCTTGCAAGCTTTGCTGTGCATGCGAGATACTCTCGGTAGCTTGCTGGGCTCTCTGAGAGGGGCGGAGGAATCAAACTTGGGTTGGCTGGGTTGGCTGCTTGCAAGGCAAATGCCCTACACACTGTGCTATTGCTCCAGCCCATCATAAAGATAAAATAGAGATAAATATATATCATAATGAGATATATGTATATATATATATATATATGTATATGTATGTATCTCGGAGAGCCCAGCAAGCTACCAAGAGAATCCTGCCCGCACAGGCAGAGCCTGGCAAGTTCCCCGTGGCATATTCAATATGCCCAAAACAAAAACACTGTCCTCCCGTTGTTCATTGATTTGCTTGAGCGGGCCCAGTAATGTCTCCATTTTGAGTCTTCTTGTTACTGTGTTTGACATATTGAATACGTCACGGGTAGCTTGCCAGGCTTTGCTATGCAGGCAAGATACTCTTGGTAGCTTACCAGGCTCTCCGATAGGGGCAGAGGAATTGAACCCGGCTTGGCCGGGCCGGCTGCATGCAAGGCAAATGCCCTACTGCTGTGCTATCGCTCCAGCCCCCAAACCAGTAACCATATCAGGTCTCATTCCCCTAACCCTGAAAGAGCCTCCAATCAGTGGGAAAGATGAGTAAGGAGAGGCTGCTAAAATCTCAGGGCTGGGACAAATAGAGATGTTACTGGTGCCTCCTTAAGTAACTCGATGAACAATGGGATGACAGTGATATAGTGAGATTTATATATAGATAGATAGATGTTAGCAAACCTGAGATAGATAAGGATTAAATATTTAAAGAATTTTGGTTTTTCCTAAAAATTTTTAGAGTTTATGGCAACAATGAATACATATAAAAATCGGAAAAATAACAGGAAGAAATGTTTTATTGACATATTTTAGAATTTTTTATTCTAAATGTTGAATTAAGTCAATCTTTGTATTTGGTTTAATCATCATTGGTGATGCCACACGAACTAATATGTACTAGTTTTATTTTAAGTTTAAAAATTCCCCCTCCAAACCTACAGGTATAATTTATGCAGTTTAAATTATAATTTACTCAGAATAATCAGTTTACCAGCAAATACTTATAGAGAAGGTATTAATGAAAGTAAATTACTCTATAAGAGGAAAATATAGAAGCAAAAAAGCACAATGACAATTTAATGGTTATTCATTATCCACAGTTTCCTATTAATTTTTAATAGATTGTGTTTAGAAAATTGAAACCAAAGCCCAAGTAATTACTCTTATTTTATTGTAATACATTATAATTTAAAAAACTTAAGCCGATTTATTATTGAAATTTGGATTTTCCTAATGATAAATCATGATAATTATGTTACAAAAATTTTCACTGTAAAACACTGGAATGTGACAGATTTTATGATCCATTTATAATATTTCAATGTCAAAAGCGTTTTATGTTCATATTTCAGATATAAAGGAAATCATAAATCAAGTCACTAAGTCTATATATTTGAAGTTAATAAATAGATTTCTCATCAGTTTTCTATATGAATTGCTATGCTTTATAGGAAACAGTTATCAGTATTTTTTGCAATGTTTAAATGAAAAATTTCAAATCTTCAATTTTACTTGGAATATAAAGAAATTTCGACTTAACTATGCTATTGAAATCTGCATCTAATGATTATAGTTTAGGTGAAATGTTGGCATGTGCTTGAGTACTAAGATCACTTGATCACTTGACATCCCGTTACTCATCGATTTGCTCGAGTGGGTGCCAGTAACATCTCCATTCATCCCTGTCACATGCTAATGTAGCCCAATGGCGTCTGCTCATTCTAGGAACACAGAGAGCCTGAAACCGATCATTCAGGGTCTTGACAATGAAATCTGACCATCTCATAGATAGGTGGCCATGTGATCTTTTGATGTCTCATGGAATCCAGTCGGTAATGGCTCTAGACCAGCGGTCATTCCAAATCTCATTACATGTCCAGCCCATCTGATTTTCAACACCCTGGCAAATGAGACAGCATCCCTGATTCTTGACTGTCGAT